GACAATTTAAATAACCGTTTTTACATTCATTTCAGGGAATCAGCAGATGAATAAGTCATAATGGATCTCTGGACTTTCAGCAAAAGTATCTACCTACAGGACGAATAAGTCTAACATCCATTTCATATAATCGGCAGAACGATGAGTTATGCTACTTAGTGGCGCTTCTGCATCCATTTCAGGGAATCGTCAGATGGATAAGTCTACTACTGCTCAATGTTGGTCATTCATTTTACAGAAATAACAGATATTGGTTTTTGAAAGGTCATTTCGTTGAGATGACATCTTGACCTTCAGTGTTCTGTTAAGTAAATTTTCCTTCTCAAAGTGTTTTCCAGTTTCTAAAATATTTTATTATCGTTTATTATCGTAATTTTCTATTTCCAGTACAGTTCCCTATAAAATGAAAACATTGTATCATTAGAAAAAAATTGTCAAATAAATTATTACATGAATTTGATACAAAAAAAACTTTTATTGTCAGCATATTTGGAAGGCTTTACAACATTTTGACAACAAAGGACAAACCTCAAACCCAGAAAAACAAAAGATATCAAAACTTACGATGCAACGTCAACAACATCAAGAGCAAGAAAACGAGCAGAACAAAGACGAACGCCGAGCAGCAAACAACAAACGACCCGGATGACGTCAGAGCTATGCCTTTAGGAATATTGGTTCGCCTGAAATCTGACAAAAGGATACGCAGTTGCATGCAACTGATAGTCAACCGAAACACACAGAAAGACAAACGCACAGCCAATCAAGCGAAAGGACAAAGCTTTCTTCAAGAAATTTTAACGAAGAGCCAAGAAATTTGATTTAAAATTAAATTTAAAGCTAAAATGTCCTTCGTGATTATTATCCTTTTACATATGTTGCAATCGTTTTTGTTTTTTTTTTGTTTTGTGTTTGGAATAAAATTCACAACTCAAAATACTAAATTGGAAACAAAAAAACAGTGGAAAAGTAAAAAATCCACACTAACTTATGGCAATTGTTGTAAATTACATTGCAAATGAGCCAAAATCCACTGCCAGACAAAGTTTCCGGATGGCTCGGCCCGTGCACTTTTCAAGTTACAAGGACAAATTCTCGAGTATGCAAATTTCAGCAGAAAATAACCATCCAGCGAAGGTTTCTTTTCAGGGTTATAAGCGAGTAGAAATAAAAAATAATACATATTTGGTCTGATATGCTCGCATATATAAAATTTGCACAACTTCATTTGTCTTGTAGCGAAGCTAGTCGAGCTTTGGCGAAGGAAAAAAACTGGATATCAATGCAAGGCAACTCCATGTGGATTTCATGCAAAATACCACAGATTGCAGTCAGCGGTAGGAACATGTTTCAAATTGCAGAAAAATAGACCTGCCACTGAGTCAATAGGGACTTGTACTGGTAGCTTTAAATGGTCATACGTAAAGTATTTTACACTCGATTATTGTTGGGAATTAAAATCAGTTGTAAATAATTATTTTTAAAATTAACAAAAAATTCTAAAAAATAAAAAATAAGTATCGTGATTGTATTTAAAAAAAAAATAACACATCATTACTTAAATGCTTTTCCTTACTCTTAAATCCGACACAAAATTCACTGCCGACTTGTCGTCCAGAAAAGAGGGTTTAGCGGTATTTACTGAGAGGTGAGTAACTGAGTAATTTTCTCTGAGAAACTGGAAATATCAAAATATTGTAAGCTTCCTGATCACTGCAGCGTGTTAACAATAGGCGCCTATGCTCTACTTCGATAGCAGTTGAAACTCTGCGACCACTAACTCTGTCAACCAAACAATAAGCAACATCAACTGCTTATTGTTTCTTAGTGAGATAACAAAACAACATAATATCTGTGCCATCTAAGTGTCAATCCATAGTAATATTTCTGGGAAGGATGATATTAATTTAGTGACAAAATTTTATAAGAAGACACCAAATCTTTAGGAGTATTTTTAACTTTACAAAAGAAACTGAGAAATTCGCCCGATCAGCACTCCTCCAAAGGAATAATCTTCAAGAAGAATCTAACCCAACTAAAATTAAATATTTTCCAACCAATAATACAAAAAAAATAGAGTTTCTGTCTGGTGCAAGTATAAGACTTTTTTTCCATTGATTTATTTATCTTCTTAAATAGAAATTAATAAGAAATTAGAATTTAATTGAGAAAATAGAAACTAACATGTATGCTATTGAGCTGAGGTATTCATATTCAGAAATGATTTTCTTTTAAGACGATTTAGTGCAGTTGGAGAAGATTAATATCGAACATGAGGATTTGGATGAGATTTGAGTCTCTCTTGGAATTTAGGTGTATATTGACGAATAACTTCTTGTGTTAATAAGATTGATGAGGAAATATTATCTAATAGGAACCGATTCCAAAAGTTCAAATATATCGCTTTATATATCTGATGAACCTACAAAGACGAAAAGAAGAGGAAAGGAGATTAGCACTATTCTGCCTCTTACGACTTATAGATTTTATATTAAAAACCCAAATGGAAAATTAAGCAAAATATATTAAAAATTTCATTGAATTTAAAAATAGACAAGAATAATAGAAGTCCTACCAAAACATAGCAATAATGAGATTAAAAAAAGTTCATATAACTGGGCAATAAAAATGTGAGCGATATTTAGAAAATTATTTTAAAATAATCTAATCCTTCCTCTCTCTCATTCTCATATTCTATTGGAGCATAATGCCTCTAACCCTCTGCTAAAGTGTTTCTAAAGTGTTTACAATCTTTACTAATAAATTCAGATGCAAAAATATTAAAAATTAACATTAAATTAATTTAATATTCGCAATAAAAAATTTAACATCAAAATAAAATTTAAGTTTAATATCAATTTATTTAATATACACAAAAAATTTAAACAAAATTTTTAATTCAAAAAACTTTAAAAAAAAAAGTGCCAACTACCCTCTTACGACAAAATATTATTTGATTTGTCATGAATACTATTCACAATAGATCAGCAATTTTACTTTAACTAATCTATCACATACAAACACCATTTTAAGGTTCATGTATCAAATATCGCTAGTGCAGTTCGAATTAAGAACGTAGATAACTAATTAACCGTGCAATGTATTATGAATCTAACTGGAAAAACAAAATACGTCTGTTCTATGAGCTATACGTAGTAAAACAAACAGAGAGCGTAACAAAAATAAAATGCCAAATTTTACCTTTACATAGATTTTCATAGAACCGATTTGTGTAAAGTCTAATAAGAACACCAGTGCAGCGCGAATAAACAATACAAAAATTTAAATTCAAACCAAAACAGCTGATTCAACATCAACACAAATTTACTTGAAATAAAATGTGGGAGCCTGTGTAGCTTTTTCAAATCACATCAGGGATGTTACATTCTTTTAGTTGCTCTCATTTCCCCAAAATTTGCTAGTAGAACGCACTTGTGTATATACAGTGTAATTAAAATATATTTACAAATACGAATACAAAAACAACTGCATTAATAAAAAAGAAATAATTTTAATTTCATTACCATTAAACTTTTTTGACTAATTAAACGAAAATGAGTTAATGATATATTTAAAATTTTTTAAAAAATAAATATATTTCTTCTTCTTCAAACTTTTATTGATTTTGCGTTGTTATATATTTGTCTGTAATTGAGAGCATTTCATAAATTTTTAAAATAATTTATCTGTTGCTGTCCTTTTAAATTTTTTACTATCATATATAAATACTCTGAGTAATAGGCCCTACTTAAGTCCCAAAACTGATTTAAGTACAAATTAATTCAATGACTTATAGCCTGTTGAAGTTGATATTGATTTATGGCAATACATAAACGTATAGCGATTATCCAATATACCTGTTCAAACTAACTTTTTATCAATAACAAATTGTATGAAGTAAAATCAACATATTTTTATATATTATTAAACATTTTAAGCTCAGTTCCGGTGAATAAAAATAAATATATTTCACTGATGAATTTAAAATGTACGATCAAGTGAACTGACCGTGGTTAGTGACCTTTATGTTAGTATCAAGACGTAAGTTGAGACTGTGAAACCAGCTTTGTGTGGTTTTTTTGCGGTAGAGTGGAATGCATCGAAGGCCACAGTGTAAGACTTGAATCCACTAAAACCATCGCTTAGCAATGAATGAAAAGAGAAATGAGAGTAGAACATTAAATACCTAGCAGGCTAGGAATATCTAAACCAGAAAGTATGGACATGTAGAAGCGAAAGCGTACATGAGCAGGAGGCGAATAAATTGTCTATAACAAACCAAAAATATTGATTTCGTCTTCTTTTCAACGAAATTAAGTTGTTTTTTCCATACGAAATTTAGATTCAACCTTAGAGTGAAATTAAGGAAAATAAACTTAATTTCGTTGAAAAGAAGCTTCAAATTAAAGGACATTTCAAATGTAATTATACGTAAATTTTAAGCAAAAGACAAAGTTGAGATAACGAAAAAATTACATTTTTTTTAAATAAATTTCAGTGACGGTTAAGTTTAATAAAACCGGGAAAATATTTTGAAAATAGTGCAAATTTTTAAATTTGTATATGGAGAAGAAACGATAACTGTTATTAATTTTAAATAGAGTAACACAACAAAAACCATTTGATTTCCCATATTTTGACTCAGTATGAACGCTTTTCAAACTAACTTAATAACATGTTAACGAAATTAAGGAAATTTGACTGTCAGAACACATTACATCTTTGCAGTTAAGCTGGTTGTGCCTACGAAGTGCATTTTACAGTTGAGTATGCCTAAACAGAGCGTTGGTGATGGCATAGTCAACGTTAGGGGTGAAGTTGACTTTGAGTGGTAAGAATTCGAATGTAACTACAGAAATATTTTTTCTTTAAGACCATGAAAGTAATTAAAGTAAACATTGTATTTGAAAAATTATTTTAAAATTTTTTTATAAATATTTATAAATTATAATTTTGAAATAAATATTGTATATCGATATTTATATGTACATATTTATGTGTTTCGATGACAAACATATGTTAAAATTCTCATTAACAGTTGAACTTTGGAAAAGCAACCCTGCGAAAAGTCTTTGCAAACACTGCTGTTGAGATAAATTAAAATTGTGGAAAATTCATTGTCACTTGTGATTGTATTAAAAACGTCTGAAAGTTGGAAGTGCGCAGTATTTAGCATAGAAATTGATAAAATCGGTAAAAAAAAACAATAATTAGGTGAGTAACGCTGAAGAAAAGTATATAGAAGAAATACTTTTAGTGTTTAAATTAAAATTTTCCAATATGTGCTACCGAAAGTATTAAATTATTCGCAAGCAAGTGTGCAAAACCGCAATGCCTACGCGTTTAATGTGTTAGTAGAGTACCGCTATATACAGCAAACGTGTCGCCTATGCACCGTAATAGTTGGAAAAGAAACGAAAAATATTTGTTGGGAAAAAAACTTTAGTTCAGTTGTCAAAAATGTCATACAATTTTTTGTTATAAGTTGCTTTGACAATACCATCACTTCATATAAACGTTTTCGTCGTCTGAGTGGTTAGTTTTTAGAAAATAAATTTTTTCGTCGTGCGAACGTGTGTGATAAATAAAAATAGCATAAGCATAAGTAACTTTTATTTTATATTGAATTGAAAAGAAAAGAAAAGTGGAAAATATATATTTTGGCATTGGTAATTAAAATTTTGTATTAATCAAACAAAACCTGTGATGTGTGATATTAAAAGTCTGTTTCAACAATTTTCAGGTATATAATTTGTATGCAAAATGTTAATAAATCTTAAGGTAAAGACGCTTGATGCACAAACTCACGAATTTAGTGTTGATAATGAGGTAAGTTTAATAAATGTTATGTTATAAAATATTAAAAATAAACCTACCACCACCACCACCACACCCATATACAGTTAGTCGGCGATTTAAAGATTTTCTGATGAAACTTTCTTTTTCCTTTTTTTTTTCTGTTTATTTCATTTATAGATTACTGTGCGGGAATTCAAGGATAAAATCGCTGAAAAAACGAATATTGCCGCGGAACAGCAACGCATCATTTACTGCGGTCGGGTCTTGGCAGATGAGAAGCAATTGAAAACTTATGGTGAGTCACCGAACCAAGTCTAATCGGTTAGTTAGTAAGAAAGGCAAGGGTTGAAAATATTTCGAAAACATTTGTTTAGAATTTTGTTGTTATTTTACAATTAAATTATCATAAAAATTTAAAGAAAATAGTCTCTTTTTTTCTAAGTTCTGTTTTATACAAAACAGAGCAAAAAGTTCTGTTATGCGTTCCGATTTTATTGCTATCGTTAATTGTGTATTTGTTGTAATCATTGCCGTTTATAATACCAGGAATTAAGTGTCAGTATAAGATAAAGATTTAATTGGAAAACTATACAATTCTTAGTGGTTACAATAATACGTCGTGTCATACGGTTTTGTCTATCTGCAAATGTTTGTTTTTCTTGTGGTCTCAATTACTTTATAAATAAGCAAAACAATTGTTCCTATAAATATGGTTTTCTTTTGTTTTATTTCATAAACAATGTCCATTTAATACAAACATTAAAAATAATTTCTGGAGAGAATTGTTGACTAATACAAAACAGCTGTAATGACCATAGTATATGTTTTACTTGGGGACAACTATTATATTGTTTTTTAATAAAGAGGTTTTCGAACAGAAGTGAAACAACAAAAATTTATTTTTTAAATTATTTTAATTAATTGAATTTTTGGCTGACCATACAGCTGTTTCGAGTATTGCCAAATACCCTTCATCAGTGGTCTTGTAAATAATTCTTATATTTAATTATTCGTAAATAATTATTTTTGAGACTGCAAGTACCAGGAATCGAACTCGGGTCCTGCCAAATATGAAGCTCAGAATCAGCGCACCTTAACCAACTGATCCAAAGCCGTACTTGACTTTTTATGTTCGCATATTTTTGCTGGAGTTTTGTTACTTTTGCTATTAACTCATCTTAATTAAATAAAGATGAGTTAAAAATATATTTCGTCAGAAACACATGATATGCAGTTCGAAACAAAAACTGAATTAAATCAATCTTATATACAGAGACTCCACTGACTAGGCTCTCCCTGTGACGACTTCCTTGGTTAGCAAAAAATTTTTCAATCCAATTGAGGTTTGGATGAACTCACGTGCTGTTACTTGTTACAAATAAACACATCTATCCGGAACATGTATACTAACAACAGCTCTACTACTCATTATGGCGACTACCTGATATAACCATATCAAACCCTATTGCAGTGGAGCCAACATCAGTGACTTATAGACACTCCACACAGATGCAGTATCCTCTTCAAGACCTAGGTTAACTCTCAACAAGATTCTCAACAAGCCGACGTCTTTCACTTGCAGCAAGAACTCTCCTAACTTAATTAAGATCAGGGTACAGTCATGTGCTAAACAGTTACTTGTCACGCTTAAATATGTCGTAATGTATGCCCAAACTGCAGCTCTACCTACCCCCATAACGTGACCTATCTATTATCCCTCTACGCATACAAACCTTAGTTCAATTGATTTTTGGTCTCACCCTTATGATGTGGCTACGTTTCTTCGTCTGGAGTTGGATTGATTATAATTGCAATCCCTCATATTCTTTATTCTCCCTTTGTCCCCATCCTTAAACCAAACATCACTCATCCACATCCCAAATCATGTATTCGTCTTGTAATCCTTACGTTATATTAAGTAACACATATTCTTTATTCTCCCTTTGTCCCTATTCTTGAACCAAACACCACTCATCCACATCCCAAACCATGTATTCGTCCTTACGTAATATCTGCTTTCAGATCCCGACGGGTTACAACAACAGAAACCACCTGTGATAGCAAAGTTTCTTGTCATCTACTTAGGTTAATTTTAATACTTATCTGCCTTATATTTCTCCAAGCTGGAATTTGGGATATTTTCATCTTACAATCTGTACATGTTTTGATTTTAGGGTACTATTGTTGGGTCACAACAATAGCAAAATAAAATTCTGCTATCAATTTATTACAAATTTTTTTCGAGTGTTCCAGCTCCTAAATAAATAAACAATTAAAACAAAAGATTCAATTTAGATATGTTTTGTGTAAATTTACAAGTGAAGTATAAAGTTTTAAACGAAAGATATATTAATCTATTAGAACAATTAGTTTATGCACAACAGTAAACACTGCAGATGCATTGAAGAATAATCTTCGCTGTTGTTGTTGTAACCCGCGGAGATCTATCAAGCAGATAACAAGAATGATATACAAATAATTTAATCTTCGTAGTTGCATATAACACTAATGACTTCATATGTTATCTACTTTACAGATCCCTGCGGGTTACAGCAGCAAGAATGACTTTATTTCACATCACCTTTTGTTTATGAAATTTATTTACAATTTGTCAATAGCTATCAGAACACCTATAACATCATATATATATAATACTATAACTTTTAATATTAGTCTAACTTATCAAGAAATGAAAAGTGGTAAAATAAATAATTATATTCAGTAAGACGTTAAGTACACTATACAAATTAACCTATTATACCTTTTGAACCCAAACTTTAAAAAAAATTTAGTTCTATATATCTATATTTAGTTATATAAACTCCTTTTGGTTCGTTTTATCTTACTCAGCGATCAATTATTTCAATAACTTCCATATGGTGATTAGAGATTGTCAATTTAACCTAACTACCTACTGCAGATAACAATTATTTATTTTTAAAAAAATATCTTATCACTTAACTATATTTTTAAGTTTGAGAACCAAAAATAATTCTTCAATTTTTCTACAGAACGATCAGATGGTTACAGTTTTCTGTTCTAAATGGAGCATAAGACCTTGTTATTAATGTATATACCATATATACCACGTAAAAGAATATAGAATAGAATATTCATGTCAAGCAGATGACATGAAAGGAACTACAAACTCGTATACATTACATGGGTTAGGATGTGATTAGGTAAACGTAGTGTGAGAGGTGAGATTGTTAGGGACAAAAATAGATTGGGGGTGGAATCTTTATTGTAGTCATATTCATCATTGGGGGGAATATATTTTGCGTTGTTATATTATAACGAAAAATTTTATTTTCTTCATATACATACATTATTTTTCTTAATTTACTTATTTAAAATGTACAAAAAGCAAATACTTTTTCTTTTTAAAGATACAATTTCACTCTGACGTGAACAGTGGACTTCTTTTCAAAGTCATTTCAACGCTTTTCCGAGTTTTCTTTGTAGATCATTGGTTTTTGTTGTGATTACTTCATATTGCTAACTGTTGTTAGTGGCATTACTATATATTTGTCTCAAATATATGTAAAAATCTTTGTTATTGTTGGTGTAATCCGCTGGAACCAGTAAACAGATAAGATAAAAAGGATATACCCAATCATTACATGGATGGGGATTGGGGAAATGGATGGGTAGTGGTTAAGTGTTATTGAGAGGGGAAATGAGAATAATAAAAATCCTCGTCGCAACCTTCAATTTTCATATTATTTTTGACAATATAGTATTGTTTATGCTACACTTGATTTAATTGCTACTTCATTGGTTCATATTCAATTTTTCTTATAATATATTAAATTCTTTTAAAAAATTTCGATAACTTAGATTTGTTATTGCTTTTAGATGTCGAAGGTAAAGTGGTCCATGTTGCTGAACGTCCTCCGCCCTCTCAACGCGGTCCATCAACTTCCAGTTCACAAAATAATGATGTACCTCGTGAGACACGTACAGCTACTCGGGGAATGCGTGGTTCTCCACTATTTCGTGCATTGGATGGTTTGGTCGTAGGCACGATGGCAATCCCTGTAAATTCAAATATTGTAACTCTAAATATATTTTATTTAATTTATATATATGTATATATATACTAATGAATGTATACATATATGACCTTAAACATTTTAAATTAATTTATTTTTTTTTCTTTTTCTTCATAAACAGAGTAATGGCCAAATGCGTGTCAATCCATTTACATCTTCATCATCTTTTTGTATGAATCGTATTACTGTTGCTCGTCATATGTTGGATTGTGCTAATAATATCGCAAATTATCTTGAAGATCCACAACGTGTAAATAAATTTTTTTATCTACTTATTTATAAAATATTCTGCAACAACAGTAAAAATGACATATATATTTTTAGGGTCTAAATAACACTCCTTTGGATATATTGACACGTGGGCGTTGGACAATGGAATCTACTGTTGTTGAAGTTGGTATATCTGCAGCTGATTTACCAACAGATCCAACGCAAAATATTATGGAAATGGTCCATGGTGCTGTTTCGGCTGCCATGCAACGTCAAGGTAAGACAAATATATACAAGTAGAGTAATAATACAATTGTAATAAATATGTAGAACGCAACCCTAACAATGTTGAAAATCCAGCTGAAAACAACCTTACAATTAATACTTTACCTACTACTCGTCTTATTATTGAAGATGCACATAGTGAAGATGATAGCCCAGTTGACGCAGAACCTAACGCAAATGGTAATGCTGCTGAAGGCGCTTCCCCTACAACGCCAACAGAAAATACAGACAATGCAAATACTGCTACTTCCAATGGTGGTTCAACTGACACACCCCGACGTACACGTACACAAGTACTTGCAGAGGTTGTTGAACAAATGCGTCGGGTGCAAGAACGTCTTAATCCATTTATTGCACGTTTTTACACACTCTTACATGAGGATCCAACTTTTGAAGAAAATGTAAGAAATTTCTAAAATATGCTAATTGAATTTTAATAAAAGTATTGTTTTTAATAATAGGACACAACTGGACGTGAAGAAGCGCAACGCTTATATGATCGTGTCTCCGAAGCTTTACATTACATGTCTCATGCTCAACATGCCATTTCTGATTTAATGCTTGACGTTTCGCAAGCTACTCCACGCCATTTAACTTGTCGTCCAATATTAGTCGAACAAAGTGGCTATGTTACTTCAAATAATTATATTATGGCTTCAGCTGCCGCCCAAGCCGCAGCTACGGCTCGTCAACAGAATGCCAACAATACTAGAAATAATAGATATAGACCAGCAAGCACAAGTACTTTAACTACTAATAATGATTCTTCTAGTGCTAATAACACTGAGAATACAGGAATGGGCACAGCTCATGTAGCTATCGTACCAATACCTACTAACGCAGACAACGTTGTAGAGGATCCAGTTGATGAACCAATTATTGAAGTAATGCCACCTACACAAGCATCCAGTGTCAATATTGAAGGGCAAGGAAATGGTAAAATATTTTATTTTGTTTTTGGTTTTGATTTTTTATTTCATTTATGATTGATGCTAATTGTAGGAGGTATAGCGGAAATTACTTTACAGTTAAACGGACGTCCTTCAATTGGTACTTTATGATATATAATTTTTCTTCGGTTAATTTATTAATTAATTTTTCTGTTGATATTCTTTTAATAATTGCAAACTATCTTTGGCCTATTTTAACAATCTTCAGTTAGTCATGGGTTTCGATTTGTAATCATTAATATATTTATTTGTTATTTATATCTAATCAACTCTATAACAAATAATATTCGTTAATTGTATCATGACACTTATTTCTAATATTACTGATTAAAAACAACAACTCTTTATACCTTTACAAAATTTCTAAAGCCTTGATTAATAATATAAATCATTTTTATTATTCAATTCTTTTATTAATTTTTATACTCAATTTTTCTATTAACATTAGAGTATTTTATTGCAAAGAGAATTGTAATTCAATTATATTCATCTAAGCTTATTTCTACTACTTGTTACATTCATATAATATTTTTAAGAGAGGTTTCGAAAAGTAGTGAACTACAACAACAAAAAATTTTTTTATATTATTTTAATTAATTGATTTTTTTTAATTAATTGATTAATTAATTTTTGGTTGACCATACATCTGTTTCGAGTATTGCCAAATATCCATCATAATATTGTTAAGTAAAATTGTTCCTTTATTATTTTTATTAACATATTCTCCACTTCTTCTTCCAAAGGCCGTAAATCTTTGGGTTATGAGTTGCAAAAAAAAAAAAAAATTGAATAATAGAATTTCATTTAGGATACTTGTGATAGATTGTAAACAATATCAACAACTGTCATTTGTATAAATTCCACATAGTTGGCATAATCAATTTCACAGATATAACTGCGTATAGTTAATATCACTTCAATCGTCTGAATTTTCCACCTTTCTTTTATTGAAGTAATTTATGTTTAAAAAGCATTTAACAATAGATTAGGAATTTTGAAACCAATCAATATCCGCATAAATGTTAATAATAAATAAAACAAATGATTTTTCAATTTTGCTGCTCTAAACTATAGATTAATTTTTAGCGAAAAAAGATACGCTTCTTGGTTGTAAGTAGAATACATTTTGTGGTAAATCGTTCAGATCTAAAAAGGGTCAGCAAATATACTTATGTAGAATGTCAACTGAATGAACAATGAGCTCATTTTAAACAAATGTGCCGTCAAGGAATTCATTTCGTTATAGTTATTGTTGTCGCTTCAGATATAGATTCTAAAGTGTTACACTATATCTACATAATTTTACGTGGACAGTGTATGTTGTGTCGTTGATGTACGCTCAACATATACATCAGCATATATCACAAATCCAATACTGCTATTACACTAAAATAAAAACGACATATTAGAGAAAACGGTGAAAAGTACGATAAAACCTGACCAACTCTGGGTATACTCTAAGGCATTACGAAAAGTACGATCGGCTTAAAAGTAGCAAGTATGTAAGCCATTGAGGTATCTAAAAAAGGAGGGAGAGGGAGACAAATTGAGCATTGTTGTTGTTTCCATTCTGATTGAATGCTTTTTTTTTTGTTTGCAACTCATAAAGTGAAGTATTACGGTTTTATTATATACATATATATGTTATCACAAGGTTCGTCATCATAATTGATATCAAGTCTTGATACTAAAACTAGATGATCATTATTTCAAACAAATATAAACTGGAAATAGGGTTTTATTAATATTAACTCTATTCTTTAAAAATTTTCTTAGATATTTTTTTCATTGCATTTTCAAAAAAAATAAAATTGATAATTATTATCCACATATAAATATATATATAAAATTTTATAATGCATAAGATTTGTGTTATATATAATTTTTATTATATGTACAATTTATTTTATGTATAGTTTTTTTATATGTAAAATTTGTTTTATGTATAATTTAACTTTATGTATAACTTTATTATATGTATATTTTTTGTACATATTTTGTTATATATATATTTAGTTATATATATATTTTGTTATATGTATATTTAGTTATATATATATTTAGTTATATATATTTTTTTGTTATATATATTATTTTAACATACAGAAAAATATTTATTTGTCTTAAATCTTTATTTTAAATCCTTTTTTGTTTTAATATTTTTGTTTTTCGTCTTTTGTTATATATACATAGACCATGAAAATTATAGTAATTTAATTTCTTTTAAAACTAAAGTAATTTGTTCACTTTAGCTAAATTTTTGATATCACATTATCATAATTCATTTAATAGTTTTTTTTAAATTCGTTTTCAATTATGTGATTTCTTTTAAATATAGCTAGTTTATTAACATTAAATATTGTTTATAAATAATAATGTAAATAATTAAAATATTTATTACAGCTAATAATCGCACCCTTACAAGCGCTAATGCATTATCCCAGTTGATGCAAGAATATTTTAACGCTAATGTACCCGGTGAGAACGCAGTTCATGTACAAATTAACGCTCCAAATATTCTAGCGATAAGTACACGTCCATTAGATCAACAAGAGGAATTATTGACAAATAATGTATCAGATACTGATCAAAATGATGCTTCTTCACCCACTGGTGCTAATGACTCTAATGCAACCACAACAACCGGAGATCAAGCACGCGTTACAACAGCTACACTACCAACTACATCAACACAAACTCGTTCTACATCACGTCCTCAATTGCAAATTGGCAATTTACCACAAGGTCGCCTTATGCCGTATGGTATGCTCTCATCCTTTGATCGCTTTTTGCCTTGTAACAGTCATCACATACGTGAAAATACCGATAATAACGCAAATGGTGGCAGTAGCAGATCTCGTGGCGTGGCCGTAACATCTCGTCGTCCTAGACGTAAGTATGATTATGTATTTTATATGCATTATACACTTCCGCTTCTTTATCCTTCCTATATCATTTTTTTATTAACAAAAGCACCAATTAAAAATTAATAATATATTTTTATTGGCGTTGGTTACATTATTGATTATTATTTAATATATGTCAATTATGGTGTGATTGGGTTTTTAAAGAAATAATATGTAAAAATGTATACACGATACTCTTATTCCCACATCCAATATTCCACATTTGCCATTCCTTTATCTCATATACCACCCGTCAATTCATAAGTTAATTCATATCGACGTTCCTTGCATAATTTAATGGCTATTCGGCGCCTGACAACATCAGGTCATATCATAGCACGACGTTCAGGCAATGGTTCTAATATAGTTTCTATACGTAATATGTTTCCGCAAACTTTAACATCGATATTCCATCGGAATGCAGCTACACCAACAACTACAAATGCTGCTGACAATGCTTCCCAACGTAATTTACGCACTCAATTGCTAAATTTCCTGAACGAGTTCGTATTTAGTGGAGAGTCGATTAATGCTGACACTATACCGAATGCTGTTAATCGTGCTGTAACTTGGTTCCTAGGCTCACTTATGTATCTCCCGCAGTATGAGAAACCAGAATATGATTCACGAGACTCTTTATCTAACATTTTACGTCGTACGCTACCAGTGTTCTTTAATTTAATGAATGATAACCAATTGAACCTATTGGAATTTGAGCAACGCCTCAAACGTTTGTGTGAGGACATCATTAAACGTTTGTATAGCGTTTTGACTGTTTGCGTTGGTGAATCTAATGCAGAGCAATTATGGGCACAGTTGATGAGACTTCTATTAGTTCCCTTGCGTTCCAGTAAGTTTTTCTCTATTTATTTATTTAAAATTTTGAATTCAAATATTTTTTATTTTCTTTTAAAAAGAATTCCGTGACGAAGCCCTACAATTTTTGTGTGTCTATATTAATACTGCTGTACCAACTACTACAGACACTGTGGATGCTGAACAATTTCTTGTTTTACGTAATGCCCCTTCAAATGACGTAGATGTACCTATCGTAAGTATAAACACAGAAACAAAAAAGTCAGCTATTATAGCCGAAGAAGTTATTATAGCCGATGAAATGAATTTATGTAAAATCATTCATTTGATAAAAACTTGTCATAACTTAATTGTGTATGCCCAACGACCATAAAACCATAAATTGTAGTACTATTGTAGTACTATAGAGAAATACCTATACTCCCAAAAACAATAAAAATATCTCATCTATTGAGATATTAATCATCATCGCTGGGTTTAATCAATCGTTTCCAACTTTGAAAAATGATTTTTTTGCCAAATAATCCACTAAAAATTTTAGCGGAACTGTGCTTCGTCGTAGAATACATTATCGTGACTTTTAATTTATTTGAGAGTTTCACCACTTCTGAGAGAGGCTACTTGCTTTACTTCCTTTTCAAAAAATCCTAATAAAAAGAAAATAAATAATTTTATTCATATTTGAAAAAAATAGATTCCGTCAGAGCTCTAAAAAGCTTTTACCAAATATGATTTATACTATGGGAACTTCCATCATTCCTTAGTTGTTATTATTGTAGTCTGTGATGGCGCTATATCAGTCCTTTAAATACACGTTTGATGAACCTTTATTGACACATGTTCATCGATGTTATTGAGTGATTTCGTTACATAAACCCTCTCGTTCATTAAAAATCAAAAACACCAACTTTTTACTTATAAGTTTAGTTTGATATTTAGAGAGGTTCCGAAAAGTAGTGAACTACAATAACAAAAATTATTTTTATAATATTTTAATTAATTGCTTAGGTATTCAAGAAAGAATAATATAAAAAGATACAATAAATAATGCCTCCACAAAAAAATAGTATTGAAATACCATTAAATATATAATTGAATAATTAAATTATTCTACAGCTGATTTATGATATTTTATTCTTATTTGTTAATGGACTTTTATTTAATTAATTAAATTATTCTACAGCTGATTTATATTTTATTCTTATTTGTTAATGGACTTTTATAGCAAATTAATAAAACTTAAAGTTTGAACATACAAATCAAGTACGGCTTTGTGTCAATTGGCTAATGAATGCTGACTCTTAGTTTCAAATTTGGCAGGGCACGACTTTAACCCTTGGTAATTGCAGTCTCATAAAAATTATTTACGAATAATTAAATACAAGAAATAATTTCAAGAGCACTGATAATGGACATTAAGCAATACTTACAATACAGCTATATGGTGAACCAAAAATTCAGTTAATTAAAATAATATAAAAAGAATTTGTGTTGTTGTAGTTCACTATTTTTCGAAACCTCTCTATCAAAATACAATAGTTTCTATTAAGTAAAATAGTCACTACCGTCATAACTGACGTTAAATTACAATTTAAGTTTGAAATTTCTAAATAAATATAGATTATCATATATATATATATAAATATACTAATGTATATTTTATAATAATATAATATATTTTTTATTTAATTTAAAATAAAATAAAATAAATACACAAAGTTGTAAGTTCAATACCAATATTTACAATATTATATTATACAATATTAGATATGTAATATTACATTACATTTAACAAATTTTATTATCTGTAATTAATTTATTATATATCTGCAGCCTATGGAAACTGATGTTGATATAATCGAGATAAATGGCACTTCATCTGAGTTAGCTAACATTGTTGATGATCAAGCATGCACTGAGAATGAAACACCAGCGGATCCATTACCTAATGTTATAGTTGGCACAGAACCCTGGCATAATACTTTTCCAAATGAGTGGTTACCAGTTTTGACCCGTGATGTACAAACCCAATCTGAAGTACAACAGCAAAATTGATTTTAATTTTCATTCCTATAATAATGTTATAAAATTTTGTTTATTTACAGACTGACAACACTCAGCCTCCATTTTCTGATGCCTATATATCAGGTATGTCTGCAAAGCGTCGTAAACTTATACAAACCACAAAACCATCATCGGAAACAAATGCTCTTCTTGCCGATAACGTTCGTAATGCAATAACAGCGGTGGGCGTAACAAGTTCAACCGCATCTAATTTACCACAATCAGTCGATGAAATTACAAGTTCTATCGCAAGTGATGCTACTGTGCAAGCTTCGTTTGTTGAGGCAGTGCGTACAAATGTACGTGATCGTCTTAAGAAGGATCCTGACTACAAGCCAGAAAAATATCCACAAACCGCAAAATTTATCAATAAGTAGGAGCTGATGTACTGATAAGTACATTAAATTTTATATACATATATATTAAAGTTAAAATTAAACAATTAAAACAAAACAAACATAAATTCTATTTAAACACTCGAACTTGGGCTATTGCATTAAAATATAAATAATTTTATTTTTGAAAATTGGCACATAAATTTATTTTAGTTTTTATAAATTATTGCAAAGATTTTTGTTGTTGAAAAAAACAAAATTCTAAAATAATTGCAAAGCCTCAAATATAATCAAAACAAAAAAAAATTTATTTGTAATTAAAACAATGTAATTTCTAAATAAATAGAATAAAGTAAACATAATCAATACAACTTGTATTTTGTATCTATGTGAGTTAGAAATAGGAAAAAAGATTGATTTATTTAAAAAATGTGGTTATGCTTGGAATTTAGATATTGTTAAATAATTTATTTATACTCGTATGTTCTTTGATGCAAAATTGTTTTAATGCTTTAATAAAATTTTTATTTGTCATATTATTAAACAGCATATATTTCATTGTTTATTTCAGTGCCAAATTCATTGCCTCGAATAAAATTTTATGTAGTGTTTTAAATTTTACTCGAGTTGTTCGGAGCTCAAAAGCAATTTTGGACATGACCAAGTTCGAAATCGCAAAATTCGTGGCAGTACTGCGAGGCTATATTTTTTAATCAGAAATACATCAGCTATAAAAGAGAAAAGAAATAAGAGGTTCCAACAGTGGTCGGGTCTACGTCCCGCAGTCACTCATCAAACTCGTCGACCAACTGTCGTTCACTACCTCTCAAAGGGTTTTTACAAGCAGATTTCCGCAGCCTACAACAAAACGAAAAAAAATACAAAATAACTTTTTGAGATATTTCATTATGGAAGTATATGAACTAATGATTCTGACGGACATCTAAAACAAAGATCATCAAAAATAAACTCCTGTCAGGTTGGTTTAAAAACTTAAATTTTTATGACCGGGTGTGTTGTGACTATATTTCACTTGGATAGAGAGGAAGTTCTGCTGCCATTAAAATCAAAAACCATATATTTGCTCGTACATTTGCTGTTATTCGTATTTGCATATATAAATACGAAAAAAAAAATGAAACGTTGAGCACATTAGTTTTTTTTAATAAGTGCTCGGCCCTCAATATTTGGAGTGTTCAATCCAAATGCTTCAATTCTCGAACTATTCGACCATCATAATATTTGAAATCTTTGCAGCGTTACTCTAATATCATCCATTAATAATTTTGATTCTTTCATCTAAAGAAGCCGAATATAGGCTATAACATTCTTTATTAGGGTGGTTACCGTACAAAAGCATGTCGTTGCTTATGCTCCAAAAGACTTATCAGTCCTTTAATAACCATATGTCAAAAGTTACCATGACATATGCATTGTTCTATTTGTTAACTTTTCTGTTATTCATTCATGTTTCTTTGTCTAAGAGATATTGTTAAAAGTGAATTAGGGAGACTATTATTTGCGTTATTCGTACGTAGTTTTTAATACTCTGATATGATCTGCATTCTATTCAGCCGCGAAACTATCTACTAAGTCTTCCCAATTTGAGTAGAGATAAGACAATGCCACTGAATTGATTTTCTTCACAGGTGATGAAGCGATTTTTTCTAGAAAATATAGGGACATCGACATTATCTATATTATCATGATACTGTATAACTTTCGTACAAAATATAAAATCAATGCTGTGATTTACACCTCTTGGCAGGATCCAAAACAATATAGTTGAAAAGTAAATTTGACTTCAAAGATTTTTAGCCACACGAGTGTGTTTAAGAACCAAAGTGGGGATGCTACTTTCCGAATGAATAATGCTGTATTTCACACCTCTTGGTAGGATCCACTATATATTTAAATAAAAATTTTATTAAAATTTTAATCAGAAGTGTGAGTTATTTACATTTACTGTCGGAAGCATAAATATATATATACCTCTATATATATGAAGGAACTTGTATCTCTACTCTCTTGTCTCTACTACTTTCATCCTCCCAGAAGACCTTGTTCTAGCATTGCGCTATAAACCCTCAATACCTGACCCACTACTTCGATGAAGTGGACCATAACCTCTCCACTATCCCCTTATATAACCGGGGCTTTCGTGGCTCCAGTCACAAAGTATATGGTTGATCCCACTCCCGCTAGTTAGCCGTAACCCCTCTCCCTTCTATATCACCCATCCTATCTAGTTCATGCCCTTGCTTTGTGATTTAGATAAACCTAGTTCACTAGGTATTAAGTCCATTTTCTCATTTTTCTCTCCCATGATTACTGGAATGAAGTTTTCACATTGCTGTGGAAATCTTACATTCCTAAGAGGTGGTTTTAGTGGGTTGAAGTCTTACACTGTGGCTTTCGATGCTTTCCACCTACTGCAAAAAAAAAGGAACTTGTATATATATTTGATACACTACTTTAATATTTAAATATACTTTAGTTTTTTTTTTACCTATTTTAAGAATCCCCTAAAGAGAATTTTCTGTTCAAGATACACAAATACACAAATTTATTTTTTATTTATTTTATTTTTATGGTAAATACAATTTCAGTTAACTTTTTAACAATTTCATCTTCAAGGATAATGTAAATGTATTTTAATTGATGTTATATATTGATTTTTTATAATAACATAACATATTTTAGTCATCTTTAATGAAAATATATAAATTTTTTTATAAAAATAAATTTATATAGATTTATGAATTAAATACTTATATATTCTTCATCTATGTCATCAAGTACCCCTTTAGGGAATTTTCGTTACTTATTCATTAATACATAATATGATTTTCAATATCCTTACAAGCTATTAAAATGTTATGCTTAATTTTAATTAATATGTTTTAGACACTAAAAATAAATTAAATTTGTGTTGAATCGAAATATGAATAATTTTCTCATATCTATATATATATATACATATATATATATGTATATGTATAGAATTATATATATTTGAATTATTCCGATATATCGATATAATCTCTACTCTACTTAAAACGCACATTTGAAATATATAATTTAATAATTCAAATAAATATTTTTTAATTATTATTACACACTCTTCTCAACTAAATGTTTTGCATTAAAATAAACCTATATTCATTTGGGTAATTTTTATTTTGTTTAATTATTTCTATTTTTTTGACAAGTTCAATTAATTTATTAAATGTTGTAAAATTGTTTAGGCAATTAATTGTTAATACCAGTAAAAGCAATATTTTTATGCACGGATAGTGTAATTTCTAATATTTTTAAAAAAGTTACAGAACATATTCCATAATAATACATATAGTAGCGCCATCTTGTAATAGTACTTATACGCTTGTATCGATTGTTCCTATTTTCTTCATTCTCAACTGCTTCACTAATAATGAGATTAAAGAATTAATGCCAATATAAAATCTTTGTCCAGCATCGCATATGTTCTCCGTGATATCACATTTGGTCAGTAATTCTAATCAAGTGATCTTCAATACATAATTCTACGACTCCAAATGATCCTCAGCACATATGCTTGGCGTATAGTTCTAATAATTTAAATTAATATATAAAAAATGTTCTGGAACTCTTTTGTTTTACTCTGTGCTGTCCTAAATAGCTTGGTGCTAATATACCTCAAAACATATTTATATATATTTATATATACAATTATTTGTAGGTCAATTCCAACCAATTTTAACCTAAAACGTACATCTTTAAGTTGTTGCACTTTAAAAAAAAAAAAAGAAATAAAATAAAATAAAAATACAAAAAATAATTAATTTAAACAATTAACTGCGTCTATCGTATGCTAAACAAAAAATAAAAATCATGACAAATGTACACATAATCGTCTAGTTACTAACAATAGCTTACTAAGTTACAGATTTATTAAATAATTAAAAACTAATTCTAAAACTCATTGTTTCTTGAATGAGAAACATAAATTTTGGTATAAATTTAAAATATAGTAAAGCTTGAAATGAATTTACGGATTTTCGGGTGGTTCTTTCAGTATTAAAATGCTTTTAGGTGCCCCATCCAGATCAGCGAGAATGACTGAATGATATTCTTCATGTACAGAATTAGAATTTGTTTCTTCCACAAGCGCGTTGACCGCATTATTACTTGACAGAAAGTTACCCGAATTTGGTATATACTCTACTGTAGCATAGCCCGACTTCGATACCGAAGGGGCTTCAGCATTTTCCGATGCAGCAATTGTATCATTTTCATTCAGAATCGGATTTGTGGAATTAGTTAAGTTCGTTGTAATTATTGAGGCTTCATCAATATTAAAAACTACGGGTGTATTTATATGTTTCGATTCATTAATGTATATATCCATATCAAAATTCGTTATGGTTTTCGAAGTTGTTGTTGTAAAATCTGCACCAATTGGTAACATTGTTATTCCCTGATTATGTGTGTTATTATTATTAATGTCGATCGAACTTTCAGTTAATTTTGGGGTTTCATTTTGTGTATTTTCATTTCCTTCACTTTCAATATTAATATTTTCCTGTTCCGCCGTCGAGGTTGTTGTGGGTGCTGGTGTTGTTGTTGTAGTTGTAGTTGTTGTGGTCGTTGAAGTAGTAGATGTCGTTGTCGTAGTTAATGCTGATGGTGAAGGTATGAAAACTGTTTTTGTGATTGTTTTGATTATCGGTGGTGTATTAATTACTGCTTTACCAAGTGGTGTAATTATTGGTGGTAAGTTCTCATCTGGATTAATCAATCTAGGTATTATAACTTCCATTAGTTCCTTAGTGTTTGTTATATCGATATTTTGCAGTAAAAATGAAGGGTATGATTTATAAAGTTCTTCAAGTGCACTGCATACTTCCTTCTTATTCGTGAAACACTGTGAGCTGCCTCGAATACTTGCATTCTGTCTCTGCATCATTTGACAGAGTTCGTTAAGTCGTTGATCGCACATGATTGGATTATCTACGATAAATAGGTAATTTTAGAGAATATAAATAAAATTTATATGAGTAGTATTACTAAATACCTTCCAAATGTATTTCCAAATCATTAAGCACATTGTGACTAAGACAGCGAGATTGTTTCACTAATTCGGCAGATATCGTTGCAATTTGATTATTTGTTACATTCACCTGGCAAAGTACTGGTAATCCATGGAAATCTCGTTCCAATTTTGTTAAGTTATTGAACGGTGCTTTTAATATTTTCAAATTTGGTAGACGTGTCTAAAAGAACAAAAACAATTCAAATCTTCTTTATATAGTAAGTAACACATATTATTATTACTATATATTATTAAATCTTACTTATTAAATATAATTACTTAACAAATTAAAACTAACATTAGGAAATAGTTAAATAAAGTCTTTTAAATACATATATATTTTAGATGTGCTGATCTAATGTGCTAAACTATTAAAGATCAAAAAATCAATAAAATAAAAGATATGAAATAAGAAATAAGATATGAAATATAATTCTATTCGTAATAATATCTTTTCAAATAAAAATAGTTACTAACATACAAATATATTTTAGCCTGTAATTTAGTCAAATTTACTTTAAAATATAAAATAAAAGTAAAAAAAGAAGCGTTAGCATAGAAATGACAAGACAACAACAAAAATTTTAGTTAATTTATTAAAGTTTGGCTAACTATACAACGCTGATTCGAGTATTGCCAAGTACTCACATTAGTGGTCTTAGGAAATATTCGATATTTTTTTAATTAGTTTATAGTCCGTATCTGGATGTCTAAGTTGTTTTACGCAACATTGTATGCCGTGGACGCCTAACACTACGATGTTCAAAAACACAACGTATTGATACGAAGCGTCAATCAATAATTGGAATATCCTTAGAAATTCCGCCGGCACCAAATTAGAAATGCGTGTAAGACATAACCCCCATCTTAGTACGATGCGAGGCCTATCCCGATGCGAGGCCTATCAGTGAGCTACGGGCCCACTGACCCCCGCAGTACCAGATACTCACCTCGAATATATTCTGGCACGGCAAGTATATTCTGACCCCTTCCCCGCAGGGGGATTTATAGTCCGTATATAATTTGTTGGACTACAAGTGCTAGACTTTTAAAAATAGTGCCTGTCAAAATAGAAACGTTGACTAACCGTATTTTTCCAGAAGTAGCCAAGGCTCCAAAAACTTTCAATAGTCAAGTTTTTTGTCACTTTTTATTTCTTTATTTAAGTGACACTATCTAGAGCACTGTGCTTTAAATTAGAATTAAATTAGAATTAGAAACACAAGTTCAACGAATTGAAAGTTAATTCTTGAGGTTGCCTATTTTTATTTCAAAGCTATGTTATACATATTTTTACTTTCTATATGTAAGGCACCTTTTTTGGGTGCAATTTTCAGAGAAGCTTTATAACTGTTACGCTACCAGTTCGCTAATCGCGATTAAGAAAAGCTGATGAATATTATTGTTCGTATTTTCTCGAAACAACGTGATATGGTCAGCGAAACTTCAATAAATTAACTAAAATTTTTGTTGTTGTCTTTTCATTTCTATTCGAACGCTTTCAACTTTTAAATAAATTGTTTTTGTCATAAGACGCATCACTTACGACAAAAAAATTAACATTAAAAAATAAATATAATTAACTTGACTACACTTTAATGTATTACATAGTTTTAGTCAAATTCTAACGCAATTCTTTTAATTCTTATAATTCATAGATTCAAGTGAACACAACTTACCGTTTCTAATTCCTGTAAAGTTAACAGTTGATTATGAGACAAATCCAAAAGTTCCAAATGCACCATTCCGATAAAATCTTCTGGTAGTATTTGTTCGATTTCGTTGTAGGATAAAGTTAGTATACGTAAACTATCCAAACCCATTAAAGCAGCATCCAAAGATTTGAGACGATTATGATCCAAATTAAATTCAACGAGTACTGAAGCTTTATCAATGCTATTATCTTGACGTCCTGTAAGTGTTTCTATGCGATTATATGAAAGGTCAAGTGTTTTAAGATACATAAGGCCGCGTATCTCATTCATAGAGAACTCTTCGATTTCATTGAAAGAGAAATTGACTTTTGTAATACGTTTCATTGGTAATAAGGAACAATTTAAAGATTTAATGTTATTAAAATCCATTCTAATTTCTTCCATTTTAACCACAGACTTGAATTCATCCTGTGCCAAATATTCTATCTTATTGTAATGTCCGTAAAATTCATTTAATTTTTTGGCATTCTTCAATTTTCCATCAAGTGATCTAATACGATTAGAATGAACGTGTAAAGTTTCCAAGTTGGTCATATAACGCATACTCTCCGGCAAATGTTCCAATTGATTATCAAATGCAATTATCAATTGTAAGCGATTCGATTCCGGTAACTCATCGTCCAATGATTTAATATTATTCATATTCAAAAACAGTGATTCCAATTGATTTAAGTTGCGCAATGTACCATTAAGACTTTCGATTTGATTGCGGCCAAGATGTAGCGATACTAAACTTTGTGGGAAAGTGCCCTTCTCCAAACGTTTTATCTCGTTAGTGACCAAAAACAAAAACTTCACCATTTGAGTACCTTTAAAATCATCTTGCAACACCGACTTCAGACGACATCTGCCCATATCAAGCGTCTTAATTAACGGCATGTGACTGAGCATATGTTTCGGTATTGTTTCAAGTTCATTGTCACCAATACTCAAAAACTCGACATTCGATAACCCACGAAACGGTAATTCGGGCAAAGTTCTAAAATTAGAAAAACAAAATTTATTTCTAATTAATAAAAAATTAATTTTTTTTCTTAATAATTTTTTTTTATTTTTACTAACGTTTTTGTATATCTGTGAAGTTGTTAAATGTACATAAGCCGACTCAGATAAACATAATCAAATGGGCTATCACGTCACGAGCATTGACTTTAAATGATTCATTGTTTTCATTGTTATTAAAAAGCATTGGGATGTGTGAGAAAAGATAAAGGAATAATTGTCGTTGATTGATTGTAAAGTATCTGAACCGAATCTGAACAGTTCAGGTTCATTGCATTTTTGTAACAATCCTTTTTAGCATAATTTTAACTCAATTCATAAGTTCATCTATAATTTTTAAAACTTTTTGGATCAGATCATCGTTATTTGATGGAATTTATTCACTTGTATTACATATAATGTTATAAAGGATTAGAAACAATATCTTGACTTATTAAAAGCAAAAATATGAAGTTTAATATTTGAAAAAAATATCATATCTATTTTTCAAGTCGAAAACCTCGAAATGCAGTAACGCAGTGTTAAGACTGTTGTACTTCACTCGACAAATATGCAGCAATATGTGTCATTTTTCATACAAAATCCATAGAAAATCCATATAAAAGTGTGCTAAAAAGGCTTGCTAAGTCAAAGTGTAAACATAGTTTAAGTTTGGATTATGGTAAGCAAGCTGAATATATATAAAAAAAACAATTTCACTTAATTATTAGTAGCGCATATAACAAAACTGCTATTTTAATACTTTGATAATTACATCTGTTTAAATTAAATAAATACATTTATTCTGATTAATAGTTCTACAATAATACTAAAATGCAATGAATGAAAATTTTTAATCATTTTCCAAACAAATTTAAAACTCTAGAACCAGGGTTTATTTATATTTATATCCAGAAATAATAACCATAAAAACACATGGGTAAGTGTGTATATTAGCCATGGGTTTGTCAATTATTTAATTAAATTATTTTAAATCATTATTCAATATACACTAGCAAAAGATTAGCACTAATAAAGTTTGTTAATAGAATACAACAAGTAAAATATTTGCACATATTAGTATATTATATATACGTATATATATATATAAATATATATATATTGTTAAAATATGAATAGAAAGGCAAACATTTGAAATGTATGAAAAAAGAACACTGACAAATGATCAATCAAGGCATAAATGGAAGTTTGGCAGAAAAGATATATGGATTAAGAACTCAGATCCAGTAGTTAGCCTCAACATCACTAACGCATGTTAAACGACGGAAATAAAGATATGTTAAAAATATAATACTTCAACATGCTGCCGAACTTGATTCGTGTATATATATGGTTCTATATTAGTATTAAATTATACAACATAATAACATGGTAGAACAGATAAAAAATATAATGTCATAATTGCCTAAACCAGAGATTAGTTCTATTAGCTCAACAAACACTTAAAGTGGTGTAGAGTAAATATTTTGATATAATTAATATAGACGATCACAAAACCTTTTCAACTCTATATTCAAAATAATGGAGAGAAAAAACAGATTTTGTTGATATACTTAAAAGCTAACAGTGCTAAAATAGTAAAATAACTAGCCTGCATTAATAAAAAATGATCCAAAATAATCCAAAAATCCTATGACGTATGGTACATCAACATAATTTAAGAAACAGACCAAGTCGGTTAAAGTACTCACCAATGAAAAATAATGTGGTATTAAATGTTATATAAAATTTAATGAAGATATACACAAAGACTTGAGAGTTAAGAGTGTGCGAAGAAGGTATATCAAAGATAGAGCGCTGAAATTGTTTGATGTTGTGTATCCTCATACTAATTCAGAATTTCATTGTCTTATATAAAATGCACTATATACTGAATCAGAAAGATATGCTGAGCTTCAAACTATACTTGCTTAAATTCACCTGACAATGTTAGTATTAGAATTCAATGGAGCTGTTGTTACAGTGGATCCCCCAAGTGACCATAGACACTATCAAGTAAATGTGATTTAGACACTGACTCGCATTTCATCGAGCAAAAAATAATAAATTTATAAAAGATGGTAGAAACTACGGTATGTGTTTTTTGAAACAAGTGAATTCGTTGTGTTCAATATAAACTTGAACTATGAAAAGTAGAAAAATACGCCTGATAAAGGACGCTTTCGATAAAATCTATTTAATTGCTTTTATAAAAAAAATAATGAGAGACTATATATTCGTGATAACAATAATTTATCTATACAATCTAAAAATACCAAACATTTTATATGAATTTCGTTTGTGGCATGAGTTTAAAGATATGGATATTGAAGATATATGATTTCAATAAGTCAAGAAATTTCTTGGAAATATTATTTTATTTGACCAAGGACCAAGTAATAGATGGGCTGGTAGCGTGCGGCACGATGTCAGAGAGATAAATATCTCCAATAAGGAAACGAAGGCTAAAAATAGAGAAGAATGAAAGAGTGTTCTGAAACAAGCTTAAGATCTAAATGGACTATCTAAAACTATTTTAAACTTAGGTGGTCCATTTAAAACTTATATGGTTCATTTAGGACCTAATAACAATTATGCTAATCTTATGATTTCATTCTAATGTAAACACAGCAAGTGAATTTGTTAATAAAACTTTCACAGCGAAGTAACAAAACTCCAGAAAAATGTGCGAACATAAAAGTCAACCGTAGTTGGGTCAGTTGGTTACAGTGGGCTGACTATGAGCTTCAAATTTGGCAGGGCACGATTTCGATTCCTGGTGCTTGCAGTCTTAAAAAATTATTTACGAATAATTAAATACAAGAATTATTTCCAAGACCACTGATGATGGGTATTTGGCAATACTCGAAACAGCTGTATGATCAGCCAAAAATTCAATTAATTAAAATAATATAAAATGAATTTTTGTTGTTGTAGTTAACTACTGTTCGAAAAACCTCTTCAAACATTTTAATAAATCTAATTATCATGATGATGAAGAAAATGAATCACTTGCATGCAGTTTGTCACTAAACTACCTGGGCCTACGATTAGGACCACAAAACATCAGAATATTTTTGTAAGGTTGCTCAAGACGATAGTGTTAATGCAGACATGTCAAACTCTAGTCGCCTTGAAAACAAAGACCCCATCCCTTAAGTTATTGCCTGGGCACTGAAAAATAATAAATTAGGCACACATATAGGTCGTATGTGAGGCATTTTTCTAGTGGTCTCTGTGTTTTAAAGATATGTAAGAGTAGACTGACTAGGTGATTGATAAACCCCTTATAAAGTGTCGTATCTTTTAAGATTTCTATCGAAACATTAAATTTATTGCTTCAGTCTGCTAAAAGTGCTGCCAATCTAATACAAATTGTTAAGTTTTTAGTATTATAAATATTTCTGTAAAATATGTTATTTCTTAAGCTAATTTATTAATTATGAAAGTTTAATTTGGTGTCTGTGAAGTTACTATATAATTCATGGGCGTAGGGAAGTTGAGTAAAGATATTTCTGCATTTTATATTCCTCTTGATATAGTGGCAGTAGCACTGGTTTTAATTTTACGTCAAGTTAATTTAAGCAGAACATTTATTTTAGTTCGTACAAAAATAGATCACAACCATTAGAAATTCCATCACTTACAGTTGGCGCTGAACGCATCACTCTAAGAATATTTGACTTTCTATAGTGGAAGAATCTTTAATTCTTTTTATGGCAAGCGTCTAGCCTGATAATTTATCACAACATGTTTAGCTGAATTAATGAAGCTGTTAAAAGAAAACATTTGGCGCCTGCATCTAGCGAGTCTGTCAGCAAGGACGGATGCTACTCTCTTTCGAGATGAATAATTCATATGGGAATGTGGCGCTATGTGATTATTGTGCGTTAAAATAAAAATTAATAACATAACAAGGTGAACAATCTTACTCCGCTCATCAAACACGTTAAATGGAAAATTTAGACACGTCCTTTGTCAACTTGTCACTTTGCGCATTCCACGAATTCCGTTATGGTTCGATGTCTAAAGAATTATGCGGTTGCGATTGGACTGAGTCTATTTTTAGAGACTGTAGGATCATTTCATTTAATTAATTCTTGTTATTTTTATTGTGTACTCGTGTTAAAATATTGTATTTAAATACAAAAAAAAAACATTCAATATTTTTTCGAACTTGATAAATATTTTCAAAAATATGTGACAAGAAAGTGTAGACAAAGTGTATAAAATTGTCACACGACCTATTGTTGCCCTCGCGATTATTGATTGAATGCAATAAGAAATTTTAATTAAATTTTTATAGCCTATACTGACCCTAAACGAAATATTCTGCACTAAAGCACAATTTTAAAATCATACATTTATGTATATATATGGTATATAGTGATTTATAATTATATAGCAATATTTATATTTTTATGAATAAATATATCTCTGACTTCCTCTATAAACTGTTTTATACATCGGTTAATACATCTACTTTATAGAGTCATATTTTGTTATCTTATATAAGATGCCCGTAACTTTCGTTCATATATGCATCAGTACCAGGTAAACTACTAGCATTTCAAGGTCTCATTCGCTTCATTATATTAAGTTCTCCGTTTTTATGGTAACAGATAAACCTGGTATGTTGTACCTTTTTTTGTATCTTTTTTAAATGGATGCAAGCAAGCTACCTCCTCTTAACCACAAAAAGGTTCCTGGTTTACGGGACTTTTTGACTTATTAAATTAATTAAAAGTATATATTTATAAACAATATAAAAAACAACAAATTAAGTGGAAGGTGCTGAAATGAACAGATACCGAACTATACAGTGCTGATCCGATATAAACCGACATATTATTTTCGTTTCGATTTCGACTTTCAGTTCGGTAAATATATTTGTTTTTGTTTCTATTTTTGGTTTAGTTCAGGTTCAAAGCCCTGGGGTTGAGACCATGCAACGCTAAATGTATACTTTATAAGAAAAGATCAACTGGTCTAAACTTA